AATTTGCTGCACCATCAATAATTTTATAACTCTCCAGCATCTTTAGTAGGCTATAAGTAAGAAGTGTGTGGATGAATACCATAAGCAGCACTATGAACCTATGAGTCGTCACCTCCATAGAGGCATTTTGTTTTTATTGCCCAGGCTTTATAGGAAAAGCTTTTCAGATCTCCTCACTTCACCATCTGACAACGGCCCTATAGCACTTTTCAAGTGCTCACTCCAAGGCCACAAACTGAGTAGATCAGCCAGACTTAAGAAGTGGAGTGTTTGCAATGTGGTGCTGCAAGACAACAGCCTGACTACCAGGGTGACAGCATCTCCACGATGTGAACAACCAGATCACTGGGAAAATCTCAGATCTTCCCGTTTTCCAAAACAATCTGGCTGCAGACCAGCACTGTGAAGTGGCCTTGACTGTCAGGACTGGACGTTTATTCTGGATTTTTATTCAAAACCTTCCAACTAAACAGATTTTTTGCATTTAAATGCAAAAACACTTCTGGTATACTTACTTTTATTTTAAAAGGTTTTGAATCAATATTGCATTTATTTTGAAAGGTTTCAAATAAATGTCCAGCCCTAACAGTGAGGGAGACCTCACAGCACAGGTCTGCAGCCAGACGCAAGCTGGAAAAAAATTCTAAATCTACATAAATCATTTTTTCTTAAAACAAATGCATTTTTTCGTCAATTGAGGAGGTTAAGTGAGACACTTTGCAAGTGGAACAAGTCAATTTACATTTAAAATAAGAAAAAAAACAATTGCTTTGTCTTATTTCAAGTGCACATTATCTACTTCTCTTATTTCAAGGGTAAAAACACTCATTCAGTTGGCAGATCATAATATTTATCTGCTCAAATTAAGGGGGAATACATTTAATTTAAGAAATGTTGACTGTATATCATAAACCTGTTGACAGGAGATACTAAACGGATTCAGTACGTTTTGCCTGATCAAGGTTTAAATGTAAGAAAAAATTATTGCAATTCATTAATAAACACATTTTTCTAACCCCTTGACTTTTTACTTGTGTGCACAGGATAAAATCTAAAAAGAGATTTTTTTGTGTGCCTGTTCTGCAGTCCTATGACTTAAGGCAGGGACCCCCAAAAAGAGCACTATCACATTTTAGGCAGGCTCCACCTCTAACAGATCACACTGCTGCCTTCAAGGCCTTGAATGAACATCAAAGGCAACCATGCGGTTTTAGCATTCCTGTCAAGAGTATTACAACCACTGGAGCCTCCCTTCCTCTCAAGGAGCTCTGCACCACACATTTCCCCAACCATGTTTCATGAAAACAGTCAAGCGGGACACAAAAGCTTCCCATGTTTCATTCGGTTTGAGTTGTCATTCTCAATGTCCCTACTGCTTTACGTGGCTTGTGTACCTCCTGCAGGCAAAAAGGGGGTCCTGTGAATCAGGAGGCAGAGAGCCAGAGGTGGAGATAACTCCAAGGTGCGCATCAGTGACAGTGTTGCTGGCTGCTCTGCGCAAAATATTATTTACAGCTCACACTGAGGAGAAATTACAGGAGCAATCCTCTTCAGAAGCAGGAAAATCAGCTGACCTGGCAACACTGAGAATGAGGCTAGGAGGAGGGTCAGGCACTATAATTATTATATTGCCTCTCTTTCTTCACTGTCAGTATCTATACAGCTCACACAGCTGGCAGAGGATTCAGCCACCAGTGACAACAAGTTACTGGTGCATTAGTGAATGATAAAGTGGCAGTAAAGTGGCTTTAGCATTTATAAACTGTGGCTTTCAGAAGGCGTTCTGATTATTTACCGATGAGGTTCCAAAAAAAAAATTACAGTGATCAGGATGTGAACTTTAAAACGCGACGAAAAAAATAGCGCGACATGAAATTTGAAGTTAAAGTATTTTATGGAAATATCTAATTTTTTATGAGGAAAAGACAGGGATATAAAGCAGGAGAAAGAGTCTGAAGAGTGATTAATCCACCTGTTGGACATATAATGATGGAATAAATCACCTGTTCTTTATCAACTTTTTGTCTACAGGAAATAGGTAATTCAAGCATTAAAAGGAAGTAATTACGAGCCTACAGTTGACTTTCAGAGGGCAAAAGAAAGTCATAATGAAAATGACCTTATTTTCCACTAAAACTTTGTGACTATATCAATAAGGACTTTGACTAGAGCAATGCAGTGTCACAGGGGTTAACTGCCACAGCCACCATACAGACACAGCTGTCACAGGTTCGAGCCCTGGCCGGTTGACCTTTGCTGCAGGTCTTCCCCCGCTGTCTAATCCTATTTCCTGTCTGCCTACTTTCATAAATAATAAAATAAAGGCCACTGGAGCCTAAAAATAATGTTTATAAAAATAATGCCTTTGACTCACTGCCTGTCTGTCTGTCGGCTGCTTTTAAAACCTTTGCAATGATTTTTGATATGAAGGTATAATTAAAAGAAGCAATATACCGTTAGACCTTTGTTAATAGGGCAATAATTTATAAATGACCTAGTCTTTTCCAAACAAATTCTTAGCAGTGCTACATGCTCACCCAATGCTTGAATGTAAAAGGCAGTAAAACTCAAGTTTCTGAAACACCAAGTTTAAAAAAACCCTCAAGACAGTGTAAGCTAAAGCTAGCTGTTATTAGTTTCAAGGACACAAACAAGCTAATGACGAGGTTAGTTTTCCAGGAATGCTGCGATAGAAATCAAAGCAGGCATGTGGTATTAGCTGACTGCTTCGTAAAATAAACAAGCAACGACACAAACCAGTGCATCCTGCTGCAAAGCTGTTGCTTGGGTTAATCAGTAGAGAAAATGTTATTCTAATTGACCACAAGGACCCTCTCTGTGATGGGTCAGAGCCTCCCGAATACAGGCCTGAGGTTCACAGGGCAAGGACGTGGTGGTCGGATTCCTCCTTGAAGGCCTCAGCCGGGCCAAGCCCCAAGGACCACTGAAAGGCCATCCCCTGGTGGGCAGCGGGGAGTGCAGGAGGTTGAGCTTTACCAGCTAGGACTAGTAGGGCTAATCTAAAGAGCATAGCCTATGGTCTGGAACCCAACTCTTCAGGGAATCCTGGACCCTCTTCTGCTCAGGAGAGGCCGGCAGGCAGTGCCCTTCCTGAGGATTCCGTCTATCTGCTTGGAGACTTCAACACCCATGTTGAAAACTACAGTGAGAGCTGGAGGAGTGTGACCAAGAGGAACGGAACAAAGTCTCTGCTGAGACTGTAGCCCCCGCAACCCAGTCCCAGATAGGAGGAAGACCACAAGTATGAGTGACTTCAAATAAACTTGGCTTCCTACATGATATTAACACTTATGTTATTTCTCTGAGAGAGGACAGAATGCTGTAGAGGGCTGAAACTGAGGAACAACTTGCCTTTAAGAAAACTATTTACCTAAAGTAATAGTGGAGGATTTTCGCAAATTTTTCAAAAGACCCGCCCTCTCCAAGGGCAATTATGTTAGTGGTTCAACAAGCAACATGGAACCCCAAAAAATCCATAACTGCCATCCAGACACAGGTATGGAGTTTAAAAACCATGATCCAATGGACAACATGTGCAAGAGCCATCATGGAGTCAATAGTTTCTACATCAAGCCACTATATTTGTATGCACCACATGGTGTACATTTGCACAATGTGACCAGCCAACCTCATGCAAACCTGTCAGACACTCTGACATCTTCCTGATAGCCATCCACTCTAGTTGTGATGAAACTGCTTTTGTTCTGTGGCATCCTGCTAGGTGTGTCTGCTCCTTGCAAATCACACCATTTACATACCCCATCGCTGATCTGCATGTGTGCCAAACTGCATTCAAAATACATCTGTTTCCATGTCACTAGAATCCCCAAAGAATTAATCTGTAAGGTTATTATATAATGTAATTCATTTAAAAATAAAAATATTAAAAATAATAATTACAGGCAGAATGAGAACAATTTGAGCTTGCATATGTGCTCAAAACAGTCCATTCCCTTCTCTCCTAAACTTAGACATGGAACCTCAGACATCTCTGGCTCATGAATGTCCTAATAAATGATATGTGAAAGTCATGGTTAAACCTCATATAGCTAACCTTTGCTGAATTTCATGCCATGCAAATCACCTCCAAACTCTTTATTTGATTTGGCTTCACATTTTTTCAAGCTGTGATCATTCCTGTTACTCTCATACCTTTTTTCCTTCTAGGAATATGTCCTTCCACCAAACTTTCCTTTTATGTGCTTGGATCCATTAATAACCTTTTGTAGTTTACACCCCTTGTGGAAGGACTTCCACCTGGATGACTGTCAAGACATATTCTACCCGATTCTCTTGTCCATATATCTCTGAATAAAAGCTCCATGATGAAAATTATAATTAATCTAAAGTCAAGCTTTTTTTTTTAAAATCATTCCTGATACATAGTTCTTGCTGGAAATAAATGAATTAAGTTTAACATTTTGTTTTACTAATGTAAACAATCCATTCTTATTGACCCAAGTGTAGTGCTAAAAGCAATTGTTGAGGTCCATCATGTGTAATCTTTGCTTGAAATGTTCTTTATCTAAATGGAGACAAATTTGGTGATGACACTGCAGCTGAAAACCCTCAGCGCTGAACCAAATGCTCTGAAATAAAAGGATAAAGAAACTTCTCAGGGTTTGATCCCTGGTCTAATGGGCTCCTTCAGGAGGTTAAATCGAAACTAACTCGCAGGGCGCCAGAAAAGTGACCTAAAGTGAGGACAGGAGACTTCAGTTCACACTCGCATACATGTGTCAGAAAATCTATTAAAGAGGATACATACAAATCTGGTTGGATAATGCTGTTTGCTGCTGTGAAATAAATGTTTTTTCTGCTTTATGTATGTGTGTTTTTTTTACTGGTCATGAAAAAAAACAGCTTTTATAACTGAAAATGCTTCCTGTTCTTCTAAACCTAGACAAGGAGTTAAAGCATCATCAGACAGCTGGGTGTTATAAGCTAATAATGTGTGTTAAGATGCCAATCACACATACCAAACGGGTCAGTCTCCTCCGAAGCATCCTCCTGTTTGTCCTCTTGTTCGCTCTGATGAACTCCTCTGATTCAACAGACACCTCCTGCCTGGGCTCCGCTTTAGCTCCACCGGGGAATAACTTTACATGTATATAGTTGCTGCGCCTAGCTCCTTGGCTATCTATTCTCTACTCTAACGTTAGTTCTAGCTATATGAAAGGCTGGAGCGATGCTACATGGTTTCCATTTTGTTTGGTTTCGGTATCTTCGCACCATTCGCATTCTCTCCCCCCGTTTAATGTTTTCCGCGTTGCGGTGTACTAGTCGCGCTCCCTCAGAGGCTCGAGGCTGAAACAGTCGCTGACATTTCGCTCCGTGCCCTGTTGCTGCTTAGACTCCGACAATTCATTTGTCGCCCCCGGGTTGTCCTCGCTCCTGGCTCGAAAGGTGCCCGACCAAGCGGTGCTAAAACAACTCAACTTGTCGTGTCAGTCCCTGGGCGCGGGTCTCCTCTCCCTCTGCTGTCAAACAATTTCCACTCCAACAAGCAGCAGCAGCAGCCCACGGTTTATCGCTTGCAAGCTCCACCCGGTGAAGGTGCGGTGACTAAAGCTCGCGTTGCATTATGGGTAATGTGGTCCGAATGCGAGGATGGACTACATTCTGAAGAAGTATGAAAACTTTAGTTTTTCAGGTTCGTATGTGGCAGTACGAAAGAGGATTAGGGCCACTGGAAAAAAAAAGCTAACTGATTTCTACATTTTATTTCAGTAAAATATGAGAAAAAAAGTCAGAATTTTTTCTCAGAATTCTAATTTTAATCTCAGAATTCTGACTTTAATCTCAGAATTCAGACTTTTTTTTCCTCAGAATTATGACTTTGATCTCAGAATTCTGACTTTTACCTCTGTATTATGACTTTAATCTTAGAATTCTGACTTTTTCTCTTAATTCTGAGTTTAATCTCAGAATTCTGGATCTTAATGTAGATGGGCACCATGAAGGAAGAGATGTGGGAGCAGTCAACTTCACTGACAAAGATTTGTTTTTTGGGAGGGCCAGTAACACATTGGTGGAAAATGATGGACTTTTTATGTGCCCGATGGGTCCCCTGTGATACTATTTCATTAATGGAAGAGCAGAAGTAGATGAAAACCAGAGAGCTACACTCACCGGTCACTTTATTAGGTACACTTGTCCAACTGCTCGTTAACACTTAATTTCTAAGCAGCCAATCACATGGCGGCAACTCAATGCATTTAGGCATGTAGACATGGTCAAGACAATCTCCTGCAGTTCAAACCGAGCATCAGTATGGGGAAGAAAGGTGATTTGAGTGACTTTGAACGTGGCATGATTGTTGGTGCCAGAAGGGCCGGTCTGAGTATTTCAGAAACTGCTGATCTACTGGGATTTTCACGCACAACCATCTCTAGGGTTAGAATGGTCCGAAAAAGAAAAAACATCCAGTGAGCGGCAGTTCTGTGGGCGGAAATGCTTTGTTGATGCCAGAGGTCAGAGGAGAATGGCCAGACTGGTTCGAGCTGATAGAAGGGCAACAGTGACTCAAATAACTAGCTGTTACAACCAAGGTTGGCAGAAGAGCATCTCTGAACGCACAGTACGTCGAACTTTGAGGCAGATGGGCTACAGCAGCAGAAGACCACACTGGGTGCCACTCCTTTCAGCTAAGAACAGGAAACTGAGGCTACAATTTGCACAAGCTCATCGAAATTGGACAATAGAAGATTGGAAAAACGTTGCCTGGTCTGATGAGTCTCGATTTCTGCTGCGACATTCGGATGGTAGGGTCAGAATTTGGCGTCTACAACATGAAAGCATGGATCCATCCTGCCTTGTATCAACGGTTCAGGCTGGTGGTGGTGGTGTCATGGTGTGGGGAATATTTTCTTGGCACTCTTTGGGCCCCTTGGTACCAATTGAGCATCGTTGCAACGCCACAGCCTACCTGAGTATTGTTGCTGACCATGTCCATCCCTTTATGACCACAATGTACCCAACTTCTGATGGCTACTTTCAGCAGGATAATGCGCCATGTCATAAAGCTGGAATCATCTCAGACTGGTTTCTTGAACATGACAATGAGTTCACTGTACTCAAATGGCCTCCACAGTCACCAGATCTCAATCCAATAGAGCATCTTTGTGATGTGGTGGAACGGGAGATTTGCATCATGGATGTGCAGCCGACAAATCTGCGGCAACTGTGTGATGCCATCATGTCAATATGGACCAAACTCCCTGAGGAATGCTTCCAGCACCTAGTTTAATCTATGCCACGAAGAATTGAGGCAGTTCTTAAGGCAAAAGGGGGTCCAACCCGTTACTAGCATGGGGTACCTAATAAAGTGGCCGGTGAGTGTAGTTTAGTCTTTAAAACAGATATCTCTGTGGCTTGATGCTTACATGTTTGTTTGCTGTCAAAATTGTCAGAATTCTGAGGTTAAAGTCAGAATTCTGACTTTTTTTCTCAGAATTCTGATTTTAATCTTATAATTTTTACTTTAATCTCAGAATTCTGACTTTTTTTCTCTGAATTCTGACTTTAATCTCAGAATTCTGGCTTTTTTTTCTGTATTCTGACTTTAATCTCAGAATTTCGACTTTTTTCTCTGTATTCTGACTTTAATCTCAGAATTCTGACTTTGTTCTCTTATTTCTGACTTTAATCTCAGAATTCTGGATCTTAATGTAGATGGGTACCATGAAGGAAGAGATGTGGGAGCAGATGGACTTTTTATGTGCCCGGGTCCCCTGTGATACTATTTCATTAATGGAAGAGCAGAAGGTGATTAAAACAAGAGAGCTAGTTTAGTCTTTAAAACAGATATGTCTGCGACTTGATGCTAACATGTTTGCCTTCTGTCAAAATTCAGTCATAATTCTGATGTTAAAGTCAGAATTCTGAGGTTAACGTTTTGCAGTAGCTCCATGGATATGATTGTTCCTTATATTCCTAACAGAGCACTTTGCTCTCAATCTGCAGGTTTACTAGTGGTTCCTAGAATTTCTAAAAATAGAATGGGAGGCAGATTTTATAGTTATCAGGCTTCTCTCCTGTGGAACCAACTACCAGTTTTAGTCCATGAGGCAGACACCCTGTCTACTTTTTGATGATGCTCATAGTTAGAGAGGCTAAGGTATAAGCCTATAGTTATGCTGCTATAGGCTTAGACTTCTGGAGGACATAGGGACCCCCCTTTCATCATTCTATCTCTATTCTCCCACTCTGCAGAATCTGTTAGTTAAATTTCTAATGTTATGCTCTCTCTGCTTTTTCTCGTAGTAGCTTTGCCTCGTCTATTCCTGTTTGGCTGTGACACCATCCTGGAGAGAAATATCAGCTGTGCTGCTGCCATCAACACTCTTGTTTATACATGCTGGAGATCGGCCTGTTTTCCTGTGTAGTCCTGTTTCTCTTACCGTGACTGGCTGGATGTGCTCTCTTCATCCTCTGACATGGGAGCTGGCTTGTAGCTCGTCTGCCTGGCTGTGTTTTTCCTGTACTGGGCCGCCTTTTACAGTTGCTTTTGTATCTCTACTTCTGTTTCCTTGAACCCCAGTCGGCCTCGGCAGATGGCCGCTCACACTGAGGCTGGTTCTGCTGGAGGTATCTTCCTGTTATAAGGGAGTTTTTCCTCTCCACTGTCGCTTCAGGCATGCTTAGTGTGAGGGACTGCATTTGAGTTAATGAGTCAATGAAATCAACTGGTTTTCCTGAGACAGAAAACTTTGAATCAATTTGACTGTATGATCTGGTGAACTGTAAAGTGCCTTGAGATGACGTGTGTTGTGAATTGGCGCTATATAAATAAACTGAATCGAATTGAAGTTTGTGATGACAGTTGGTGGGGGTGGGTTCCGATGCACCTGCAGCCATAGGACCCGATGACTTTTGTTAGGTTTTGATATTTTGCTAAAAAAGGACAGCAAACATAAATGACAATGCCATATATTTATTAGATGTTTTCCTATTGTTACTGTAGCAACAGTAACCAAACACACTAACATTTATAATTACAGATAAATAGATGGATACCTTTTAGTGCCTCATTAATAAAGGGCTCTAAATCATCAGCAACATTAAAGAAAATCAGTATATTAAAAAACAAAATGATGCCTAATTTGAAATTTGAAAATTTGGATATTTTAAATTCCTCCGCAAAGGAAGCTATTTATTAAGTAGTGTTGAAAACTGCTGTGATATAATGATGTGCTGATATTGTAATAATCAAAATTAACAAAAAAAAAAATCGCTCAGTGTTCACACATTAGGAGAAGAATGAACAAAGTTAGCCCAGAGTTTTAAAGTGTCAAGAATTGGAGTGTACTCCATCATCAAGTCCAGCGACTTCAAAGTGCTTAACTTTTACTATTCATACATACACACATTCAGACACTGATGGTGGCAATTTACACTTTAGCCACAGTTGCCTTGTGGCAGGCGGATAAAAGTGAGGTTGCCATAGATTTGGTTCTACTGGCCCCTCTGACCCCGACCGACTGACGAGGATAGAGTGGGGGCTCAAACCGAAGCTCACAGGACAAACCTTTACCTCCTAAGACAGTGTTTGACTTTTTTTTTTTTTTTTGGAGTTTTTACAGCACTAGTGGCTCATTTTTATGGACAATAAGCTGACAGGAAAGGGAGAGAGACATGCGGGAAAGGACCACAGGCTGGATTTGAACCCAGGTTGTCCACTTGGAGGACTAAGGCCTCCATACATGGGTCATGTGCGCTAAGCACTGCACCACAAAAGCAAGCTTAGCAAAAGTGGGTGGTTCACACGGCAGTAAAATATTAAAACAGCATAGGTGTTCTTTTCAATTGTTGTTCTAAACTTGCCCTAATTTATTCAGTTAAGTATATGAAAAGCCATGTGAAAGATAAATTGAATAGAATATAATAAAATGATCAAATCATTTTCAGCATGTGAGAAAACCAATAAGTTTAAAATTGGCAACTGGGTGCTGATCAACTGGAAACCTCCTTCAGGGTTATTATTCTCCTCCTACAGGGAAAATAAGGTAAGAAGAAACGACTGAAAAGTCAATCATAGACCTAGGTTGTCCCAAAGCCAAGTGCACAACCTTATGCTTTAATATGGTGTTCATAATGAAAACAACGTGGGCTACATTAATAATTGGCAATCCTTTTGGGGAAAGCCTGGTCTGATTCGGAGAGACGGCATCCATCCCACTTTGGATGGTACAGCTCTTCTTTCTAGGACTCTGGCCAAATTTTTTAGTCCTCCAAAACCCTGACCACCGAGGGTGCAGTCCAGGAAGCAGAGTCGTAGTTTAACACACGTCTCTGCAGCTTCTCTACTGTTACCCACTCTACTCCATCCAGACAGTGTCTTGCCCATGACCAAAATCATTTTGCATTGGGACATCAGTAAGAGACAGTTCAAGGGAGTTTTCCCAGCCTGTCTAAGTCTGACCTGTTCCTAGAGCATGTTATGCTGTGGTAGAGCTGCCCTCTGTCAACAGCCCTGTTTGGAAGCAGCAGGTTTCATCCTTGGTGTTTGCAGATGAAGATGTTCTGCTGGCACCCTCCTGCCAATACTT